ACAGACCCCGAGTTCACTCGCACCGTTTATCTCGCTGTCGTGGTCAGTTCAAAGCGGCCGTTATTACGCTGACTCGTCGTGCGTGAGCGACTTCTCGACCGGCGACTTCCCTCTCTAAGCGGAGAGAGTAACGCGGTAAAACGGAACAGTCCCGAGATGTTAATTACGATTACGGAGCCGAGATAGAGAATGTGCGCGAGAGCGCGGTTTGCGCCCCTGACGATGTAGACCTGATCGATGAAAATTTTATAACCCGTTGCGCGATCGTGTCATTAATATCGATGATGTAGCTGTGCTCGCGTCTAATAACTAATCACGGCGCGCCCGGTGATATGTGTGTGTGATATAGTTCGAGATTTCCGATCTCTCTCGAATATCGTCGTATCAATTACGTTATCTTTTATACGCGCGTTCGCAAATAATGTTCTGTATTAAATTGGCATAATGAGCGCGTGGTGTAAAAATGTAAGTTAAATACAAGTGAGAGATATAGACTTTTTTTTGCGCGCGAAGTTGTAAACGCGAGAGGGACCCAAATGCGCGCGTTGACTGCAAGAAATCCAAGAATGTGAAATTTATGTTTTGTGTCGAGATTACATTGTAACACATCCGTTTCATTTGTTTGTTGCAAGTTAGCCGCCGGGATGTAAGGAGCGATAAAGCCGCTGCACTTGCGTCTGGATTCGGGATCCTATATGGAAGCCGAGGGGGAAAAGGACCGAGAAAAGAGAGACTCGCCTCGGGCGGTTTGTCTCTGAGGAAGGCCGTCGGCATATGTGGCTCGCGTGCATCGGATCCGAGTAACAGGTGCAGATGCGGCGGAGGAAGCCCGATCGTTAGCCCGACAGCCCGCGGTGCATGTGTGCCTATTATGATTTCTTTCGTAATTAGTCTCTCTCTCTCGCTCCCTTCCCGCGTCCTGTACGTGTATTCGGGCGTACCTACTAACATTTGTTTCGTTGCATGTTTCGTGGCCTCGCCTCGGTAACATGTGCTACCACATCGTTGTCCTGTAGCTGTCGATTTAGCGAGCGCGGCAACGACGACGGTTGGCGACGGACTTTGCGTTTTGCCTCATTTGTCCGTGCAAAGTAAACTCCGAGATAGACGAGAAAATAAGCCACACCGGGGTTTCAAAATCCTGCCTTGGCAACCAAAAACTATGGTACACGTGACGTATAGTATTCTAGTAATTTAAGATAGGATTTTGTAACGTACTTCTGGATATGTTACGAAATACGATTGATAAGTATCCGAAACTACGGATAGAGAGAGAGAGAGAGCGACAAAACTGTTGACACAAGTTTTATTTTAAAAAAACAAACGTCAAACACTGACTTATGTACGCACGTAGCGTTTATGTGACAGAGTAGATCACGCTCTCAGTGATTTAAAACAATGCAGCTTCAATTGGTACAATGGCCAAAATGTACGAGAGTTAGGCTTTGAAATGCTGTGTATCATCCGCCTTATTCGCCAGATACGGTCCCGTGGGATTTCCGTCTATTTTTGAATCTAAAAAAAAAAAATAGCTTGTTGAAAAGAAATGTACGAGCAACAACAAAGTCACCGATGCTGAAAATGGCTATTGAAGAGCTCGAGGAATCGTTCTATCAAAGTGGCACAAGTGTTCTCGAAAAGAGAACTCTGGTCAAAGTATATATATATATATATCGAGGTAGAAAGCGACTATAATGAAAAATAAATTGAACCTGATAAATTGTTGTTGGTTTTCGTTTCGAATGCTCATCAATTGCCTCTCGTATGTAAAAAAATTAATAGGCCGATATTCATCGGGTCTTATATTTGAGATCGTTTTAAGTTTTTATCTTCAGATGATGTACGAGTCACGTTTCATTGGCTGCAGAACATCTGAAGATAAACTTAAGACGATCTTAAACAGAAGATTCAACTGGAATAAACCGGCCGCAAACGTATCGCTCAAATTAAGAAATATAATGTGCAAAGAGATCATTAAGTGACATCTGTATGTATATGTTCGTCAAGTTTCGTACTTAATGACTCGATATAAGCAAGATATTAATCCGGCATTTCGCTGTGTTACGAACATTTGTTTTTTTATAACAAATTTAAACTCCTATAGTATCAAATTAACAAAGAGTTTTCCGATCAAGAGATGTACATATGCGAAATACATATTTTTTAATGTGTAAACAATTATACATAATAATTCTCAAACTAAATTCAATTCAAAAATTTATATTTTGAATGTTTGATATTGCATCACATATATATAGGATGTTTGAAAAATTTTGACACACGGATTGGATCAATCTATAATAAATAGAAGTCGCTCACTATGCAAAATTTGCAATATTTATTTAATTTTCTAAATGAGTTAGGGTAATTAATATTTGATGAGCGCGTACGAAGCGAATGGTTCGAACTCTGTTCAGGCACGTATGATTTTCAGTTAAACCGTCGTGAAAATCAACTGATCGCAAAAAGCTGTCACGTATCGCTCGTTTGTTTGCTCCGGTTTTCGTTGTTAGGAGATTGCATCAACTAAGCTATTTTTTTTTCTACAAAAACTATGTACGCAGAATCCACGGCTTCATGCGCTCATTAACTCACAGTAATAACTCAATAAATGCGAGTGAAAAATAGTAAATAAAGTTTTGTTCAGATTGACTCAATGGCTGTCAAAATTTGTTAGACACACTTTACTCTCCTATGAGATTTAAAAAATTCATTGCAAAAAAGACATCTCGGCCAGAAATTGTTCTTTGTATTTTTATATTATTTTATATTTCCTTGTTCTTTTATATATTTTAATATTTTACAACGCGTAGATCCAGAAGTTTTTTTTTTTCACGTGAAAATCGCGAGCGTAATGTTTCTCTCTTTCGTAGCGCATCTCGATCGTCTTCATTGATGTTCTGAATTTGATTCATCTCGAGGGTGGGTAAGGTTGCATCTTGGTATGATATGACGAGGCAACGTCAGGCTTATTCTATCGCGAAATTGTGGCCGATCGATCGAAGAGAAGCCGGTCGATACCGCGAAGCGGTACGTACTCCGAGATATGGTCCGGATGGTCCTTGGTCCTGCAGGTCTGCTTATGTGCGGGCGTATATACACATCGCTTATGTATACATGTACAACACATGTACATATGAAGTCAAATGTACGTGTATACATTGGAGAAAGCGTCTTGGCGAGGGATTTCGCAGAGGGTTGGCTGTTTGCGCCTCTCGACAAATAAGGGGAAGTCGTTATCCCGTGGATGGGAGGAGTAATTAACTGCTTCTACCTCCTTTCTGTCCGCTCCACCTCCGCTCCCTCAGCATCCTCCCTTTCCGGCTTCGGCTTCTACTCGAAGGAACAGACTTAAGGAGGCCCGCTTAGGCTTTCACGGGGTCGTGTCTTCATTATTCACGCTAATCTGCTTTCGCCCTGTGCTGTTGCCTCCGCGTACTCTCCTTGGTGTTTCCTGTCTCTTTCTCTGACCCTCCTTTTCGCTTGCCACTCTCTGTATCCGTAGAGAGAAAGATAGAGAGAGAGAGAGAGAGAGAGAATATATGCTTTTGCGGAAATTATTATCGTACTGCACAACCGTACAAACGACACGTGCTGTGTGATGATACGTGTCGGGTATCTTTGAATCGGACTGAATAATATTTCACAGTATTGCGTCTATTTAATAAGCTTTGCTATAGATTTGCCGTAGATTTGTGTGTATCCCATAAACAAATTCAAATTATGATAACAAATCAATGTTAATATTAGTAGAATAATCTTATTTTGCGCATGCGTATTATGTATATCATGTGCTCGATAAGAAAATCACATTAAAACTTTAAATTTGATACTGAAAAAAACAAAATAGTTTACTAATTATTCGTTATATGTACATTTATGTAATAAATCTATAGAGATATTAATCAATACCGACAAATGGAACACGTGTAAGTGCAACCGACATCGGCGTGTATATTTTACGTTTTTGCAGTGGACCACCACGGTAAAGGCGCCCCGCGGTGGCCGCCAAATTATGATGAATTGTTTTCTCTATTAACAGCTTGTGCCGACAGAGGCGAGACGCGAGCACCCCAACCGAGATAATCTTCCACCAATTTCGACTTCCTGATTGATCATGGCAATTCATCAGATGGTTCGTTCGAACGGATCATCCGGAACGAACGAGAGCGGGATCGCATTCCCATCCCAGGCTTTTCGTTATCGCAGATTTAAATAGTACGTGTCGAGATAGTAAATTTGCGATAGGAAATTGGATTCACGTTTTTTTTTTTTTTTTTTTTATTTCAGTTTCATCAGACGCAAATTATCGTTCCCATTTACGAGAATCGATACTCGAATAGGATAACCCGACTAAAAAAAAACAAAACAAAAAAAATAAAAAAATTAACTAACATATATTTGATGTCAAAACAACGTTTAAATCGACAATAAAAACTTTGTTATAAGAATAGCAATCAATGCGATTGTGAATCGAACTGTGAACTTGTACTGCTGTACGTTTCATACGTACATTTGCTTATTATGTCTATTTGCGTGTTCCTTGATTCTCTCTCGTTTCTGCGATAATAATCTTTCAAGACGTGTTTTATACATATGTATAAGATGTGTGAGATATGTACAAGCTAAAGGCATCTTTGTATTGTTTGTATTTAATTTTACAGTGTAGATCTGTGAAGTTATTTATGTAAAAATAAATGTATAAGTGGAAATAATTGTAAGGTAACAGTTTTGTGGAAGACAAACTTACTCCTCCTATATCTTCTTGGTGAGAGTATAATAAAATAAAAAATATAATACATAATATAATACTTTTATATTATATTGTGTATAATATTGTAAATTAAAGTCTTCACTCTAAGAAATTTGTTTTAAATTGTAGATATTAAAAGAAATAATTGTAGTTGTCTCGACAATGAGACATTTAACATCAAAGTTTCTAATAAAAGAAACAAGGATGCACATATTTGTAAAGTGATACGAATTGACGAACCAAAGTATAAATGTTACGAAATACTATGTATTGCTGCTATGCAACACTTTTTCGGATAAGTTTCCATCATCTGCTAGGCGATTTATACAATCTGTTACAACATCAAACTTCTCATGATGTAAATGCATAATTCATAGTTCGTTTAGTTTATTGCGGCAAATTAAGCAGCACATTCAAACTTGACGGCAAGTACGCCACTTGACGAGACTTGGATAAGTTGTGCGCGATGTCCTCGGCGGCTTCTATTTTTCTGAGCTCAACTAGACCGTCTCCCGCTTCTGCTAGAGATTTCGCTAGTAAAAGTGCGGCTTGCGCGTCACCCTCGGCACTAATAATAGCAGCCTTCTTCTGCTGTTCAGCCTTTTCTACTAAGAAACGAGCTTTCTCTGCATCTTGTTGCGCCACTTGTTTCAATTCTACCGCCTGAGTAAACTCTTTGCCAAATGTTAAATGTGTCTGAAAGAATTTTATTTTTAAAGTAAATGATAATTTTGCACCGGAAATATGAACAATGATATAAACAAACATAATGCTGATATAAACAAACAAATAAATATTATTGTACTTACAAGTGAAATATCATCTAAGATAAGGCCAAATTGTGCAGCTCTTTCTGTTAAATCTTCACTGACCTTCTGAGATACAATTTCTCTTTGTGTAATTAATTCACTAGCATCAAATTGTGCAACTACAGCTTTCAGTACTTCAGTCGTAATAGACGGAAGTACTCTTTCATCATAATCCACACCAAGAATTGTATATATTCTAGGTAAAGAATCAGGCACAGGTCTGAAGAGGATACGAAGAGTGATATTTACATTTTGAAGATCTTTGCTCCCGGTAATAACAGGAACATTTCTCGGTCGTGAACGGATGTCAAAAATAATTGGTTTTTGCACCCAGGGAATAAAAAAGTGTGTTCCTTCGCCTATCACTGCATTTTTTATACCAGCAAATCTATCAAATATAACTGCTCTATGACCACCATCAACTGAGAAAAAACAGCAATACACTTAATTAATATATATTCAAGCAATATATTTAATTTTAATATATATATATTTAATTAAATTTCCTGTTAATAATCTCATAAATAAATTGTATTGTCATTTATAACTTACCATTGTATAATGCAGAATTGATAACACCACCAGTAAGAGCTATACCTAGGCCGAGCTGACCCAATCGATTAAAGAATTGTGCTGCCATACTTAAGTGTATTATATCTACAAAAATATAAAATAATGTATAATATAGGATGATGAAATTTGATGTGTATACATGTAATCCTATCTCACATGGTAGTTACTAGTTTTGACATTGAGTTAACCTATAATTATCTGAATATGTATTTATACTAAATATACAACAAGATACAATTATAAAATAAACTAAAAATATATGTTAAGTACTATAATATATATTCACATTCTCGGTTTTAATATATTATACGATTTGTAATAAATGGAGCAAAATATAGGAGTTAACCGGTCAGGTTGGAATTTTGCCGATTTACTAGTTGTCTGCACATTTTATGTTGTGTAGACAACTAGGAGCTAAGCAAACTAAACTCGACAATAATTATTACTGCTTACGACGAAACAATCGGATCTTACGTAATAAATTTCACTTATGAAAAATTCACTTTTCTTCTCGCGTGCACGTTCATGCGTTGATAAGAAGAAAATGGACACCCATATCTTGAAAATGGACGCGACGCAAACGCCGCAACGGATGCGGTAGTTTAACGCAATTCTAGGCGGCGATTTCAAATCATGTCAGCGCAAACGTGCGTAGAATTATATTTAAATACGAAATATTTAATACAATTGTTTATATTATGACAAACACGTGTTGTTATCATAGTTTTTTTTGTAATTGAGACTAGTACAAAGTGAATACAAGCTCAATCATTAAATTGTTGCAAAACTTTGATTAAACGTCATTTGAACAGTATGATGTACAAATATATGCAAAATAAATTGCATATAAATTGATTTTTATACACTTGTGAGGTCATTTTGCTAGAAATTGAAACAATATTATTAACATTGTAATATAAAATAATGTTAAAAAAAAAGCAAAAGATAAAACGCCCCCGGGTGGGCTCGAACCACCAACCTTTCGGTTAACAGCCGAACGCGCTAGCCGATTGCGCCACGGAGGCAACTCCAGTCAGTGATCTTTTTAAACTCAATATACATTATTGCAGATATTATACAGCGAAACAACTAAAATATTATATGTTACTTATATATTTCTTTATATTTCTTTATATTATTATATATTACTTATATATTTCTTTCTATCAAAACTATTTGTTTTAAAATTATTTTGTATAGTATAATTGTTTACAAAAAATACGATGTTTCTCAAAAATGGTAGCGTAATACGTGTCCGAATGCGAATAATTTTTCATATCGATTACTATATTCTTTAGTGAATTATAAGACTGAGTATAAACAATATTCGTTCAGGATCTTTCTTCCACTCGTCACCAAAAGCAAAAAAGTTGCTTTTGGTGAATAATAATTCACTAAAGAATATAGTAATCGATATGAAAAATTATTCGCAAAAAAGTTGCTTTTGGTGACGAGTTTGTTATTGATGTTTGATAAAATTATTATTATTATTATTCTAATGTAAAAATTTAATTTGATAAAAAGAGTAAAAAGTGATCAGTCAGAGATACTAAGTTTACGTACACAAAAATAAAATGATATATTTATAAGTTTCTCTTTCTTACGGTAGCAGTTTTACAATATATTTTTTTATAAAATATATGTTCTAAGGCTATGTCGCGATAAATTTAAGTAATATATTTCATTGAATATATATAACAAATAAAAGAAAATAGACATGTATTGAAATATATATATTAGAAGTTAAAGATTCGAAACACTGTAAATCTGAGGAGGTTTCTCTTTATGCGTTTCGTCCATATGTCCGCATATTCCTGTCACGTGACCTTGCAGAGCATTGGTCGTCACCACGGTCACGGTGCTAGGGGTCCACATCATCATCACTGGTACTTGTTGAGACTGAACCACAAGATGTTCGTTGTTCTCAGTGAGTCTACAAAAAGAAAACGTATTTCAATGATGATTATTGCTCGAATATTTTTTATATACGATCGATTTATCATTTCTCGCTTACTTCATCGCGTAAGAATTCGGATCGTCGTTCGGCACCATAACTCCATTCTCATGTCCGACTACGTTGTTATCGTCAACGATCACGGTGATACTCGAATTACATGGCACGATCTCTAACTCATGACCGCCAATATACATCTTCACACCAAGTTTGTCGCCTTCCACGGATTTCACGAAAACGGCATACGTCTGGTCAATATAGTTGCCGGATACGAGCGTCCATTTATCGAACACGTCGTGTGATCTCACATCGTCGTCGAAGCTGATCCAGACTTCCGGGTAGACAGTGCACACTTCTGCAAAAAAAAAAAAAAAAAAAAACACTCAAAATTGCATAAACTGCTTTATTCCTGTTCGGTTATTAAATACTAGCAATAACTGAAAATCTATAGGTTCACGTTACGTATCCTATAGATTTTTCGGTACTGCCAGTAATAATCGAACAAGGCCTTTCAAAACGACGTATAAATACAAGTAGACAAGTCTGTTATTGTATATTGCATAAGCAAGTAATCACACACACGCAGCAGAAAAGGTTTACTCAAATAGAACTTACTATATTGGCCTTGTATCACTTTGTTCATCATGCCTATGGAAAAGTGGGTATTGTCCATAACGAAGTGCCATTGTGGATGCGACACTGGCTCACCCATTACCATACCCTCTAAGACTTGGTCATGCAGAGGAATTCGAACATACTCGTATCCGTTAACGGGAGTGACAACGGATGCGTTAATGTGGCTCATATCGGAAGCATACTCAACTACGACTTGCGCGTTACTGCTTTGAGCACGATTTGAAGTATATTTTATATGCGGCAAGTATAACGCGCGAAGCTGATCTTCGATCCAAGCAACTTTCGAGAGTACTTGTATAGGCACCTGAAAAATATTCAAGTTTTAGATTTAAAACTTTGCGCGCGATAAAATCTCCCTTTTTTCAACAAAATTTTTAATAGTTACAGAGTCAAAATTATTTTCACCATAAACTCTTTAATAATATAATTAAATAACATAATATCTGAAAAGAAAATGTTGAATTTCTGCGAATTAGACAGATTTAGATTTCAAAATAAATATTTAAAACAAAATTAAAAGATACGAGATATATTTGTACCTTCTTGTACGATGCGTTGATGGTGTACTTCTTTAGAGTTGAGTATTTTATAACTTCTTCGAAGCAATTCTTCGTTTTGGCAACGTGATTCTGTGTAGTTTGGAATTGCGGGTTCTGAATGTCTTTAACACAAGCACCGTGCACATTATCGTGCGCTATTTGCTTTTTCTGATCCTCTGTCATCTCACCCTTAACGATAATCGAGATCGACATTTCGTCGTGGACGCATTTATCGTCATCCGTGAATCCTGCGTTGATAGTCAATTTTCCGTTGGTCTCCTGCTTCGTGATGTCGACTTTCAGTGGGTCCGTTTCAATGACCGGATAGTTTTTCTGAGCTTCTACGCAGATCTAGAAAAGTAAAACCCACGCTTAATAATCGATAATTTTCTTCGAATCTCTCATTGCACATTTCTTCGCTTATTTGTAAATTATTTTGAATTAAAATTCTCTTTTATGATAAAAGTCGAGATAATTGTTACCTTCAAATTTTTTTCCCCTGGTGTCACTCTCGTCATTTGAACCTTGACATTGTTGACTACGTGCCCCTGTGACATGTCGGCGTTCACATTCATGTCCCACGAAAGCACGGACTCGTTTGTAGAAGCTGCTTTGACGTCGAGAGTACCGCGAATATTGATCTTCGTGCTGCTAAATTTCGACATCTTCTTGTGAACGTGTTCGACATCTTCCACATTGGCTCGTAAGGTCAGATCGACCTGTAAAAAAAAGTCCAAAATAGTAATGGTTATCAAAATTCATTTTTGCAGATAAAAATTGTTTTTCTACTCACTTGCGATGAAGGATAAACAACACTAGGTTGTATTCTTTCGAGCCTTCCGCAGCTGCCTTTTTGCGGCGAGATGAAGTCGTTGATCCATTTCTGACGGATACCCATGAGGTACCGTACGATCATTGAATCCCTGCCAAATAAATCGCAATATGATAACATCGGCAATCAAAAGTAAACGACTTCTTCGAATTCAACACACACATCATATTTCTCTTCATAATATAAACAAAAAAAAAGAAATACGAAATTAATATTGATCATTATTTCAATCACCCATAAATGTTGTGCAACACCAGATGTAAATAAATACAAATATAAAAATACTTCGAATACTTACCAAGCGGTCTTGTGTTCCGGAGAAAGATCACGTTGCCATTCCACTTTGTCACTTTCTGGCGTGATTCCGTTCTCGCAATCGTAGATCGTTGTCACGTATTCAAGACCTACATCCTTCACATTCATGACATAGCGATATGCCTTCTTATTGCCGGTAGTGACGACCGTATAGTGATGACAACAAAAGAGATGGTTTTTCTCATCGTGCTCAACGGTCACTAAGTTCTTCGCAAAGTGTCGCACACCAATATGCGATAGTTTGTTCATTGGTAACCTCGGCACGCTGATCTTAAGACTCTTCGTGTCATGATTGTAGCTAAAGTTCATCTCTATTGGTAACGCGACGTCCTCAGTGACGGACCGGCGAATCGAGTGCCAAACGTCGACGATGGGATTGTAGATCGACATGACGTATCCACCGTGTTTCCATACGCGAGTGTCAAGTGCGACGTTAACGTTCACAGATGGTTTCTTAACGTCGGTGACGATCTCGTTGAACTTAACCGACCACAATTGAGGTATCTTGGTGCCGAGAACCGCTTGCATACCTATGTCGGTGGGCACCTGCATCTCATAGAGATTGGAGTACATGACTTCTTGGTAGTTACCAAACATTGTTTGCTTTATATTCAGCACGTCTTGCATCACGTCGTGTATCACATTCACGAAGTTATCCTTATCGTAGTGATTGGCAATGATCACATGATCGTTTAGTGTAATGCGAATGTCAACCTGAACAGATTTCTGCGCAGGCATGTCTTTAGCGGCATGAACCAAAATATTCTGCACTTTTTTGTGACTGAGATTTACAACAGAACTGCCGAACAATTCTTTTTTGACTAGATTTATGGCCTCATCCACACCATATACATGCCAGTAGACCTAAGGAGAAAACACATGTGTCTCTTGAAATTATTTTATGTATACATTAATTATGTAGCACATTAATAAAAATATGAAATACAAATGTAAACATTTACATATGAAGATATTTTTTCGCGATACTTGAAATATACTTACACCGAGCACGTTGACAGGTTTACGAGCAACGGATGAGTGATACTCGATATATCCACCTTCTGGCGTACCGGTCAGTGAATTCAAAACCCAAGAGAGTTTCAAGGATTCGCCATGTTCGTAAGTGGGATCTGTGTATTCGACAAATTGTGTAAACGAAAGCTGAGTTGTCACCGGTCTGATTCTCGTGAAGCTCAAGACCTTTCTGGCCATTTCACGAACCGGTTCAAGACAAGGATCCACGGAATTGGCGAGACCTTTCAGAGTAGTCAGATGATAATTGTATAGATGGTTGTTCTTTTCGTATACCATGAACCAGTAGATGTTCATAAGTCGCTGCAAGTTTGGCATCTGGCTCATCAGAACTTCGTAAGCGATGATTCTGATAGGCAATGGGTTGGAGACGTCAGAAAGAATCGGCCACAGCAGATCGTGAGTATACTCGACTTTATCGGCGATCGCTTCTTTGACGGCCCATATTGCCTGAGCGCGAATAGCGTACGGATTCTCAGATATTTGAACTTCTCCACGGATGATTGGCTCCAACAATTTTTCGATATTGCCTACTTGAACGTTCTTCATTGCCATCAAATATACTACTTTCATCTGATACGTTGGCTCGTCTGAAATTCACAAAAATATGATCATGCAATTATACTGTTTGGACATGAACAATTGTAATATATTTAATATAAAATATTTATATATATATATACTCTTGACATGTTCAGAGAAGTAATGAATGTATCTGTCAAGAAGAGAATGAGAGCCTTGATGATGCAAGAATGTTTTGCGAACTAAAATGGAGAAGCAGAGGATGCTGGCCTTCTTGACTTCAGCTGGCACATCGTTGAACTTTAACAGATCTTCCATTTCGAGAAGCAATCTCTCGCTCGGTACTTTGACGTGCATAGGTAATTTCGTTAGCATCGAGATAACGGTCACATTGTTTTCCTTGTGTTTGCGAATGACATTTCGCGTGAAATGGCAAGCAGCGGTTGTGCCCGCGGTTGGAACCATTTTCAGAAAGATGTTCCTTGAAGTTCAAGTATTAGTTTTATTTATTCTAACGCAAATAAAATTATTATTTTTTTTTTATGTTTCTAGCGTTAACTATCTTTATTGTGACAGTTATTGTGGTCACTCGCGTATTTACTTACTTCATCGTGACTTCCGTAGGTGTCTTCGGATTTTTAATAGCGTTGTAAACTTGCTCGAGCGAACCTAGATCCATATAGCTCATGATTTCTTGTATTCTGTTGATGGTTTGTCCGTGTTTCCAGTCGGGTTCGTCGTGCTTCATGTGATTTTCTTCAAGATAATCGGCAGCTTCGAGCAACATCTTCTTAAGTTTAGGAATAATTTCGTCCAATTTGACCATATGTCGACCATGAGTGAGATCTTCTGCGGCATGAAGTGCGTAATTACCCACGGGCTTGTTGTAAGTGACGTTGCGAATAATAGGTATATCTTGGAAGTTTACGGCTTCCGGCACAGGCTCTAACACTGGCACCACAGACTTCAGATCTAGAGTAGTGCTAAAATAACAGATAGAGTTAATATATAGCGCACAATATATAAATTTATATATTCTTATAACAAAACACAGTGTAACATTTTTTTATCGTATAATTACTTTGTCAATAGGTAATGAGCTTCAGATCGAGCTTCATAGGGGAAGTAATTGATAACCGAGTGAGCAACCAGATGTTTGATGACGAGCTCTCCTTCCTCGTGTTGTTCGATGTGGAAAACTCTTCTTGCGGCAGTTGTCATATCGTCCTGAAAAAAAAAGAGAAATACAATATATTATTAGAATTATAATTTAATAAAAATTAAACATCAGAAGTTTTTTTACTTCAAACGGCAAGTTAATAGAAATTTACCTCAGATTTTACGTGACATTTCTGGCATTCGACAACGTCGAAGACACGCTGGACAAAGTTGCTGCAGTTCTTCAAATCGTGCATCTTCGTAACCACGAAGACATTGCTTTCCTCCGGATGTTTCTGATCCTTCGGATGGACATTGTAGGCGACTTCGCAGATACCGTGAATGGTTTTCTAGTGGTAACAACCAAAGAGAACATTAGACACCTTATGCTGGATGTTCCCATCAGTCGTTACCCACCTCTTGCGTGACGAAAGCGTGCGGCTTTATCGGATGTTGTAGTTGAATGTGATCTAAATCCAGTTGCAGCATCGAGGCAATACCCATTTTTATATTCTTTGACCAAAGACTCTCTGTTTTCGGCACTTTAATACCTTGAAGCTAAAATCGAACATACAAGAGATTAAATTTTTTGTCTTTCACAACTAACAAACTAGTTTTATACAGATTGTTAAAATAAAAACAAAGACAATTTACTTTGCCATTGTGATAAACTATCACAAACGGATTTTCGATTTGCTGTGCCTCTTCATCAATATTTTGATCCACTTGGATTGATTGAGAATGCGAAACTCTACCATTGAATAAGCCATATTTCACGTTATTTAATTTAACGTAATAATGACTTTCTACGTTTGAATCAACTTCACTCTTGCTTAATGGCGTTAACAAGGAATCCCTTATATGAAGTTCTCCAGCGAGACCAAATTGGGAAGCATATTGTTCCGGTTCGATAATTCCAGCTTTCACGTCAGCATAGTAATTGTAAATTATTTCTTTTCCAGCAGGAACATTTATTTCTAAAATTAAAATGTGAGTAATAAGAAAAAAAATTATGTATTTAAAATTAACGTACTTAATTAAAATTATATGACAAAAATCTTTGAAGTATAGATTTTTTCAACTGACTAAGTCTCTCTAAAAAACAATTCTAAAAAAATTGATCTTATATAAAAATTTGAGAATTCTAATTTTAATTTATCATAATTTGAGTTACTTATTTTTTGTTACTTAATTATTTATTACTTATAACAAAAGTACTGTTTAAAAATGTATTATCTTAACATTATACTTTTTAACGTTACAAATTTATTTAATTAAATATAATGAAGTATGTATATTATATTACTTTTGTAATACAAATGCAATTATATTATAAAAAATTGTTTTCTCTGACTAAGCTTTAAGTAGAAAAATAATCTTGTTGCTTTTAGCACTTTACCAGTCATATAGTTTCTTTGTTTAATTTATTGCAGGAAAAATTTTTTGATTTTGGAATAGCATCTAATGTTGTTAAGTTTTACTGTATGATATTAAAACATAATTCTTAGACAGAATGTTATATATATGTCTATTTACTTAAATCTTAACTTCAATCAGCATAAGTAATAATATTTTATACACCATATTTTTCATCTAATCTAATTTATAAAATAAAACGGCAAAAATAATACGCAAAATTTTTCAAATTTGTTTAACACACATATGTGTTTTGTAAAATAAGTTTCTAAATGCATTTAAATTACATCTCTTTTTAACAATGTAATATTTCGAAAATATTAGAGAAAATTAAATAAAAGACGTAACTTACTTTTTAACGGCACCGCAGACGCGGCCGCTAAGCACAACAACAATCCTAAAACACAATTTACATGTGAGTGTGATTAGTTATATTTTTCATATTTATTTATACACATCGTCGAAGGGTTCGAAAAAAAGGTTTTTACATGTGGACAAATTCCTATATATTCAGTTATATCTGATTCTATATATCATGTTATTCTATCCCGGTAAAAACTTTTTCATGTATAAAATTGTATGGACATATTCGGCATATAAATTTGCATAATTAGATATAGTAATTTTAATTTGTGTATAAGTATGTATAAAAAATGTTTTACTGGGATATAGATCTAGTTACATAAATAAAATTATATATATTTATAATTATATATATATATATATATATATAATGATGGATTTTCTAACTTTTTTTAAGAAGATAAAATGAGTAACTTATATATAAAATGCAAATTAAGCTTAAATGAATTTTTGAATTGAATTCAATTCGAATTTTTGTGTATTAATTTACACGTTTAAAAAGTAGATATACTTTTCACATTCAACACATATATTGAATTGTATTGACTATAAATTCTCTGCTAGTTAAACACTAAATAAATTTAACTTTGTTGTAATTATATACAATTATGTATAACATTTTTAAAAGATCTCATATGTATGATTATATATTTAATCATACATAATCGAATATAGAATTGTCTACATACGAAGAACTTTTTTCACGGGAGAAAACTGCAAACTTGGAAAATGCAAACTCCGTCAAAACACATCTCGCGAGATATACGAGTACGAAGGTGCACCTCGTGTTTAGCGGCGAGTAATGACTTACCGATAAGGGCATTCATCATAGCGTGACCCCTGATGCGAGACTGGTATTTGTACGCGAGATTCTCTTGCTTTTATAGGGCGCAAAGATGCTGCCGGTGTGAAATGCAAAAGTGCAAACCGATAACCCCGCGTAGAAGGGGATGTGCGTTACACACGTAGAACGAGAGCGAAAAGGAGAAAGAAAGTGACTAGAACCGTACCGGTGTAATCAAAGAGATAACCCCTTTCGGGCATCTCTCTTTCTGCAGCTGTGTCGCGTTTTAATAACGTGTAAAAACGCACGCGCGCATATATATCGGAAACAATTGGAATGTATATATTACAGGGTCAATATCGGACGTGCGCATTTGACCGATCGTGATCGATCTTCCGACCCTGCTTCTTCAACTACGCATCAACGTTTTTCCCGTTGAAAATAATTTCTTATTTTTACGCATATGTATAAATATATATGTTGTTTAACGATTTTATCTTTGTTTACATACCACGTGCAATCATACCGCTCGCTTTCGATGATTCACGTACGTCGGAAAAGATGGATCATTGAACGTCTCTGGGACGGTACTGCCGATTCGATCAGACCCCTGATAGGAAATTTACAAAATTATGTGACGAAATCTTGCACTAAAATTGTTATTTGCAATTATACAGACATATTTTAGGAAATAGATGTAAAAACATTGATCTTTTCTGAAATATTTGTAGTTGTTTGCAAAATTAATTTCCAAATACTATTTCGGCAAAAGAATAACGATATGGCGAATCATCTTAGCGGTATATTTGCAAAATTAATTTCACAAAGAAATTGTCCAATAATTGAGAAAAGAAATTCAGTTATGTGATGTTTAAAATACGTAGAAATATGATTGCATATGAAGAAATGCAAGAAATCGTCGTCACTCATGATTTCATATTTGTGCAATATTTTCACAAATGTGCCCATTAGGGACGGCATCTCCGTAATCATGAAATAATCGTCGTGAGTCATCATATGACAGGCGCGCAAAGTGTGTCGAACAAGAAGATCGGCATCGTGAAGGTGATGAGACGTGAATAGTCGAGATGAAAATGCAAGAAGAAATTATAGCTACTTGATAAGAAGATCAGAAAGACAAGGTCAAGATATATATATATATATATACATATATGAGCAGATTCATTATTAAGTTTAGAATATTCATTTATTATTAGAAAAGAGAGTAATGTTTAATAATTTCACGTTGAATACGCAAGATATGCAATAAAACTATATTGGTATGAACAAAAAACAATCGATAACAAAAAAATTTTGTTGTAGATGATATTGCAATTATAACAACTCGCTCTTTTTCTCGCTTCAATTTGAATCAGACTTCAACTAATTATTCAACTTTATTTACTTCATCGCACTGAAACGAATGTGTTCAATAGGTTGGTTTTTAAAATGCTTCTTTTTTTACTGAGAACGATCGCGGTCGTCGAACGCACAATTTTTCCATTAATCGTATAAATTAAATAATCATCGAACACAGCAGTTTGATAAAGCACAGAAAACTACAGCTGATTGCGTGTTTACCAGCGCTTTCACGTAATAACGTGTGACACTTAAAATATTGCTTATTTATCATTCTTACTGTTATACAATGCAATAAAGCTGACACAAACATAATAAATGTCAATTAGACATCTAGTGGACATCCGTACCTTCAAATGATATTCAACGAATATCTAAGAAAGATTTGTATAGAATGTTGCTCTATGTGGAAAGCGTGCGATATAATTTCAAGTTTTGCAAGCAATATTAAAGTTCCTTATTATTAGACAAATATTTTATATACAATATTTAAAATACAACAAAATCATTTGTTTCTGTCGCAGATGTGCTGATTAAAGCAAATGACGTGTTTTTTTTATTTAAGATTTGGTTGCATTGTAAGAAAAGAGAGAAAAGAGAAAACTACAATCTGTTAATAAATAGATCAGGATAAGAACATTACGTTAAATGATTTCTCAATAATCTACTCTTTGCACGTGGTTATTTTCCACGTGCGTCACTTTATTCCAACATTACTTGTACATGTGCAAACTCGTTACATTGGTAAATAAAGCAAGCGAACAGCAAGCGAGATCGCATTCGCGGCAGTTATTACTGGTGTAGTTCTAATTATGAGTGCTTGTGTATGAGAGGTATCGGTTCGCATGATTAACAATATCTTTTACCAAATGATTACAATATATATAGTATGGCTCCATATTTCAATTTGTTGCGTCACGTAAGATTTTACAAGATGAAAATCGTCGATTAACACACGTTGCGATTTATCGAAATTAAAGTTATCAGATTCCGAGTCGTGAGGTGTCGCGATAACTTCCAAGCTGCTGGCAAGTGACTCCATATGTTCTCGGAGAGAACCGACTATCTGTTGTGTCAAGACGTTAAACTTCATGCGATGTTTTCGGCGAAGAATCACCTTTGATAAATACAACGGATATCGAATGTCAACATTATAGGTCACCGCATAAATTAAAACATGAAGACAAAACAACTCTCTCTTTCTTTTTATCTTTCTCTCTTTTACTCCGTTCAAAAAATTAAAAACTTGTATAATAATAAATACGCTCGAACAACAACCAATTATCTTGATTATATAACATATATATAATAACCGAGTTAAATTATCATATAAATATACGTTGAAATGAGTACTTTATAAAGTTTATTATAATTTTATTTTTAAAGGTGCAAAAGAAAGCAGGAAAATGTTTTTGCGAATAAAAGATTCATGTGAGAGGTATGATAATTTTATCAATATATATACGTATACACACACAAATATAAAATAAATTAATGTTTCTCATTATTCATAAAATAATCTTTTAAGTTTCCGAGTGCTTTGCTGCGGTGGGAAATTTTATTCTTTTCTTCTTTCGGCAATTCCGCATAAGTTTTCTCGTAACCCACGGGCTGAAAACAAGGATCCCAACCGAAGTCTCTAGGTCCCCGTGGACTCACAATAGTGCCCTGAGTTCGACCTTGGAATAGAAGAACCTCATCGTTGCCGGAACAATAAGCGAATGTGCAAACTGCTTCTGCCGATTTATCGTCCCATCCGTTAAGCATTCTATGAAGACCTTCCGGGCCCAGTTTTTCGAGAAACCACTTAATGTACGGTCCTGGAAGACCTCCTAATGCATTGAAACAAAGACACGTGTCTTCAATTATTACCGGACCCTTTACTAACTTTGCTGCTGCTCGACATTTGTCTCGACAAATGTCATCTATCTCTCCTTGATATTCGGGCAGATCGATCTTATTACTCGTTATTTGTCGAGGAAAGTTCTTTCCCAGAATAGCAATAAATTCTTCAAGTTTTTTTGCATTACCTGTCACAAATACTATGGGTTTCGACATCCTGCAAAAGAAAAAACTATCAGACTATCATGCATTTTGCACAGAATGCTTAAATTTTCAATGTCAATCAATCAGATATTGGTCTCCGAGACCTAGCTGAAAGTTTTAAACCGGTGTTTCTATTAATTTAGCGCGACATCTGAAGGCCATGAAAACAAACCTTAGGGTCTTAGACAATGGTAGAAGTAGTTAACAGTGTCCTTCGTTTAATTTAAGCTTTGCGAAGATTGAATTTTGAAAAAGCGAAAAGGATCTGAGAGACTCAAGTCTGGACAAAACGTTGACATTTTGAAAAGTAAGTAAATTTTTTTTCAGTTTGTGCAATTCTACTATATTAAAAAACGATTTATAACCATTTATTAGATCATGGCGCGCAGAAACGTTTCAAACGTTTCTTTGAAACTACTAGAGATTTTTTCAATTTGTTTCTTTGATAGACGCAGAATCGTTTAACCTTTCGATTAAAAAAAAAACAAAAAAAAAACATTGATTTTTTGCGGAGATATTCGAACTTAAAGTCGCGTGGATCTCCAGTCTGGACAACTCGTAGGTCATTTTTTATGTCTGGCACTGAAGGATTAAAAAAAATGTTAATACATGTATGGAAAATTTTGTACGTGTGTAAAATGTGTCTCAGAGATCTGCAGAAGATTCCGAAAATATACTAATAATGAACAAGATGAACAAATGCAGATTCTCTGAAGACAAAATATATTTGTTAATAATAATATCTTGTGTGTTATTAAATGTGTATTTAAAAAACTCTTTATATAAGCGATAACATTGTTTTGAAAAATTCTGTATATCAATTGAAAGTTTTCTTTTCTGGCAGATGCACAAGACTACATCATTGGAAAATCCGTTTTTCCGTATTTTCCGATTAGTTCTTATCTAACCTTGTGTGACGATATGGATATTAATTATATAAAAGTGTCAACGTTTGTAAAAAATCAATTCAAACTAATTTTACGATTTATTCTTCACAATATATATAAGCAGAAAAAATTGCAATGATAAGTAATTTTTTATATCTTTGTCGTATTATCTTATGTAAATTGCGCGCGCTTTTTACATTCTTTAAGTTGGCATTACTCTTGGACTGACGTTTGTAGTCACGTAGTGTACAGTGTGATGAGACACTTTTACATTTTAAATGTAAGCGCACACAATGTGATCTCAAGCATTAAATTATTTTTATTATAAATTTTTATTAAAAAATTTTGATGTATAACAAAAATATATATTACCTTCCTAATTGAGAATATCGAGATACGTTTATTTTACAACTCGTTCCTAACCAACAAGCTAAAGTGGTAGTAATTCTGGCAACGTTGACCTTTTAATAATGCTTGCCAACTTTGAAGGCGTTAAAAAAGAAAAATTTCATTTATAAATCAAATGCTCAAAAATAGCTGTATAATTGAATACAGAAAATAATTTACATGTATATAATACGTAGTTTTTCACAAAATTATTTTACCTTATATTATCTTGTCTTTTACAAGAATATAGAGAGGACGTATTTTTTTCTTCGGTCGATACCTACACGGCGCTTCAGCAAAATTGATGCACAGCACGCCATTCTTGTTATTTCTTGAAATCAGTGGCGCTTTGATGAGCGGTTGGTTTGTACAGTTGATGGTGTAGCGTTTCGAGTTTGTCCAAAAATGCCGAGTCAAGAGGTTGTGACAACAAAAGTTGTGGTCCATCCGCTAGTGCTGTTAAGCGTGGTGGATCACTTCAATCGTATGGGAAAAATCGGAAACCAGAAGAGAGTAGTCGGTGTACTTTTGGGCAGTTGGAGGGCTAAGGGAATCTTGGATGTATCAAACAGTTTTGCAGGTTAGAATCAACTCTCACAACAGACTACAGTATTTTTCCGGATGTTGATGTTTTGTTGTAACGTAATTGTGTTGTGTGTATGAATGTAAAACAAATTACTCGTAAGTGTTATTTGATATTACTTTAAGATCTGCAATATTAAAAGATAAACATTCATGTTCCAGTACCTTTCGATGAAGATGATAAGGACAAGAGCGTGTGGTTTCTCGATCATGATTATCTTGAAAACATGTATGGAATGTTCAAGAAAGTCAATGGTAAACATTTGTAATTTAAATGTGTATAAATATCATTTAAAAAGTTCAAGAGTTTTGATTGCAAGATATGCTCATTTCCAGCTCGTGAAAAGGTAGTTGGCTGGTACCATACAGGACCTAAGTTGCATCAAAATGATGTTGCTATCAACGAGCTAATTAGAAGATACTGTCCTAATTCAGTTTTGGTGATTATTGATGCGAAACCAAAGGATCTAGGACTTCCTACAGAAGCATATCAAGCAGTTGAAGAAGTACATGATGTATGTGTGTACATAATATAGTATCAATATACTATTTGTGAAACAATATTTAAAAATATTAAAGATATAAAATTGCAATCTACAGGATGGATCACCAACTTCCAAAACTTTTGAGCATATTCCAAGTGAAATTGGAGCTGAAGAAGCAGAGGAAGTTGGAGTAGAACATTTATTAAGAGATATCAAAGACACAACAGTTGGTACACTCAGCCAAAGAATCACAAACCAACTGCTTGGCTTGAAAGGTCTTCATGAACAAATTCGAGAAATTAGAGATTATCTGCTACAGGTATGTAACTTTATTTTTTTAAATACAATTTATAGCTAGGTTATTTTAATGTTTACTTGGTAAAATAAATTGTTTCACAGGTTGGAAGTGGGAAATTACCTATTAATCATCAAATTGTTTATCAACTTCAAGATATCTTCAACTTATTACCAGACATGACTCAAAGTAGTTTTGTAGATTCTCTATATATAAAAACAAACGATCAGATGCTGGTTGTATATCTAGCAGCTCTGGTTAGGTCTATAGTGGCTTTACACAACTTAATCGGCAACAAATTAACCAATCGTGATGCCGAGAAAAAAGAAACCGATGGAAAAAAAGATACAAAAAAGGAAGAGAAGAAAGAAGAAGAAAAGAAGGGAGATGAAAAGGCAAAAAATAAGAGTCAAAGTCACTTTTGAGTCTGCTCATACACAGTATGCAAAATTGAAACTGTTAAAGTTGAGGACAATTATTGACTTTGTGTGTAATAGTCAAGCGTATTCACAATTTGTACAGAATTACACTGCGCATCTATAAATAATGACAGTTTAAAAATGTATTATGAGTAAATTGGTTCCTGAATTAATTCTGGCATAATTCTGAATTTTTTTTAATAATTAGGCACAAAATATATAAGACACAAGAATTATAATTCAAGATTTTCGTATTTTGAATGTGTAATGACTGTATAATGAATGATATAGTCAATATATCGAAAAATTTAGGGTTACGACAAGTTTTAGATTATTATTGTAACCATTACAATACTCTTTCAAAGTTTTTATAATTAACAATGAATAATTAATACAAACTACTTCATGAAGAATAAAATACAAGTTTTGGTATTTTTAAATTTATTGATTACTCGCATGATCAACTAATGCAAATTTATATAACACTATTAAAATTTCATCAAAGAGATAGTTTCCAAACTTATTTCAAGCATAATAGAAATTTCTGTTAATAATAATACGCATTATATAAATTCATATATACATATAAATATATATATATATATATATCGCGTAATATATTTTTTAAGAAATATAAAACTTATTAAAAAAAGAGAAAGTATTATATATGTTATTAATAAAATTATTATCTGCGTATACATTTACTGATTTATTAATTTATTATATATATCAATATACAAATATTTATACTTTCTACTGCAAGAAAATATTTAAAAAAACGCAAATACACGTACGAGTTTTGTACAATATATTAGAAGTTTTTTCCAATGAAATATATAATGCAACTGTATACACATCGTTTGTCATTACGGCATATCTATACACATGTATGCAAGAGTATTACAACAAGTTACTCATTAACAAAAAAACTTGATCATCTTGTGAGATTCGAGTTATATAAAAAGTTATATAAAAACATGCGTCTTTAAAACAAATCATCTAAAGATTTTTGGCAAGTTTTCAATATTTTATATAAAAATGCTGAAAGCAAGCAAGACAAACCATCGATACTCGTAGATCCTCGCAGCGCTGTTATAAGCTATGCCTATGTACGGTTCTAAATTCGTATCGTTGTAATGTTGGAAGTACCAATTGTACGGATTGTCGTCTATTACTTTGGCCTCTTCGTCGATGACGAACGCCTCGTTCTGGCTTTCGAGTGTTGTCTCGTCGACAACTTCGGCAACAATCGACTTCTGTTTCTGCCTCGATTGTTCGCGTTCGGCGTTGTGACCAAGATGCGGCGAAGCTACTTTGGTTATTGTGGATCTACCAATCGGACGTATATTCACAGGGCTCGAGGTTATTTGTCCTCCCGGAATCAGCAACGCGGACAAAGCGGACGCTTCCGTTCCTCGAGAAGTATGAGAGATTGCGGTCGTGGTTTCTTTGGGAAGTGAAACCGATGTGAAAGATATCGAGGACGTTGAAAAATGCAAAAAAGGCGCGCTTGTTTGCGTCGCTTTCGGATTATCTGTAATCACAAATTTTGTTGCGTTTGCACGATCTGACTACGTGTTAATTTTTGTCAAATATACTACTTACTGATCAGATAAACTCACCGCGTTCAACGTAAGAGTCAGTTGTGCCGCTTAATCTGGTTGAATCTTTTTCGTATTCAGCTGTTTCCAAGTCCCAGTTTTTGGTACTGCTTTCTTTCGATGATGCTGTTGCAGTTTCCTTGTTGGCAATTACAGTTTTTCTCGTTTCCGTTTTTGGTGTAGTCCAAATTATTCTACTAGCGACTTCCATCTGAGGTTTCTCTATAAATTTAGTGTCCTCAGCAAGCACCTCCAAACTCTCGCCGTCGTAAATCTCGGTGGACACCGACGTTTCGTGAGCCACTTGCGACGACTCCTCCACAATTATCGGCTCACTGACGGTTTTCGTCACTCTAGACACGTTGAAGCTAAACGAACAGATAACACAAACAAATATTGCGAAAAGCGATATCTCACGGCATTGAGAAAAGCAATTAAACATTTAATTTCTTCTTAATAAAAACACAAAGAACAAGAAAAAATTGCAAAAAAGAAACGTTTATTTACAAAACAGGTAGTTAAAATATTATACTACTTACCTAGTTCTATTGTTGTTGGGCAAAATCTTACGAGATTCGAAAGTGCTCGAACCAGCCGGTCGATCCAATGTCGATGCCGTGGATAATTCCTCTTTTTCCCGGGAGCCGGTTCGAGGTTTTCCGGTTCTGGAGATCACTTTTTCTACTTTAGTTACAGTGCTGTTTCCGCTCTTTTTCAAACGCTCTTGATGCATCAAAGTGATACTCGCGTTTGACGATCTCGTTATGTTCTCTTGTTTCACGTGTTTCTCGTACATCAATCTGGGATCGGCGATCGGCACGAATCCGCTTTGGGTGCGAGGTAACGGCACGAATCCTCTGTGAATTTCCGGTTCCGTGGGCGGGAAAGACCTGTGACGTCCTCGACCGGGTCTGTCAGACGACGACTCTTTCCTTTCTGCTTTTCTACCCGAATGTTTCCACAGATTGAAGTTCAAATTCGGAAGGGGAAGGCCGAAGAAGGTGAAGCCGGAGCTGCTGGGCGACGGCGGTATCGGAGGGTTCTTCTTCACCGGTGACGTGCCGTTCTTCTGAATCTGTTGCTTTTGCGGCGACGGTGGAATAATTTTAATCTGAGTCGGCACGTTGATGGTAGACACTTCGCCGGGCGGCGACGTAGGAAAGCTCGTGTCGCTTCCGTTGTCCGGATAATCCACGTATTCGTACACGTAATCGGAATCCTGCGAAACGGAAGGTCTCTGCGTCGAGGAGTCCTTTAAGTTCATCCAGAGCGGCACCGTTTCTGTAACTCCATGTGCTGACAAATTTAAATACAATATGATAAGAATAATAATTTTGCAAAAGCGTCTGAATTATATATATTGTTATAATTAATGACTCAATTACACGTGTATCAGGTAATTCAAGCGTAATTAAAATTTCAAGGCTACATTGTCAAAGTTTTTACCGGATGAAGAAACTGAGGGCGCGGCAACATGAACCATCTCAGCCTCGCATCCCGGATGAACAGGCTCGACGTATCTGTCACGCTGGCAATCCTGTCGCGATAATCTGAGTTCCTTGAAAAGAGAGCCGTCAGCACATCTAGGACCTTCCGAGGATGCTTGTTGCAGCCATCCTCGTAGCCAGAGCATGCCGCAAGAACAGGACAATGGATTTCCTTTCTCGTAATAAGTGATAGAATATCAGTACCAAATTATTGTGGCAAAAATTATTAGAATATTAAAAAACAGAGATAAAGAGAGAAAGAAAGAAAGAGAGAGAGAGAGAAAAAAAATAATTAAAAAAATTTACTCAATATGTTTAACGTTAATCTATTTTATTAATTACTAAATTACCGTCGATATCCAAAACAGCTATATTCGATCTCAGTCTTTTGAAAGCGTCTTCGGAAACCGCGGTCATCCGATTGCTCCGCAGGCTCAACACTCGTAATCTAGGCATATCGTCGAAAGGCGAACCGTGCACGGCGCAAATCCGATTGTTGTCCATCTGCAAGAAAGGAAAACGGCTGCAAAGCGGCTCGGCTATCTTCCTAATTAACGATGCAGGTATACGAATAATTGCTCCGCCAGCAGAACGGGCCGTCTCGCACCATGGTTCACACCGGGAGTTTCACTCTCGACGAGAAAGTACTATTCTTCTTTCTTGTAACGAAATCTCTCTTCTTCTCGCGTTCTTGCTCAATTTTATTTATATGTATTTTTAAATACATTTATTGTGTGCGTAAAAGAGAGCAATTTTTTTTTAAACAACATTTTTTGCAGTTATTTCATAATCCGAAAGATTTAAGTATTTTAACACCAGAACTATTGAGTTAAATATTGTTTTTTTTATTCAATTTTATGACTTTTATTTTAAATAAATTAAATATAAAAAGCACATTCACACACTGTCTCTTTCAAATTGACGGATGTAAAGTAAACTTTAAGATATACATTCAACATCGATAGTGTTAAAAATAACGCTAAGCGAGATAAGATTTTTAAAAAATTTTTCTCTTTATCTGATAACGACTTTTTTTTATATTTTAGTGTAAATATACCTTTAGTTCCACTAGCCATTCCATAGAAGCCAAACTGTCACTGGAGACTCTGGATAAACGATTATAGCTGAGATCGAGAACTTCTAACGAGCGAAGACTCTCCAGACCGACGTATTCCAGACCCGGCAGATGATTGTGACTTAGATTGAGGAAGAGCAAATGTGGCACGTTAATGAAGGCATTAGTGGCGACTTCCTGAATTCGATTTTCCTGAAGTTCCGCGCTCTGAAGCAACGGTAGCTCGGTGAAAGCGCCGCTTGGAATAAACTGGAAGCAATTTTTATATTTATACGGTTTAATATTTATATAACACTGATGAAAAATCGATGTTTGTCGTCAGATACACATACATGTGTAACTATTACACACATGCGTGCACACAAATTAAAAACATTTATTTATGTTACCTGTAATCGATTTCTGCCAAGTTTGACAGCTTGCAACTCCGGCAACGCTCTAATCGCGTTTCTTTCGATCACTCTAAGATCGTTGTTTTCAAGATCGATCAGAGACAATCGTGGCAATCCGTCGAACGCGCCTTCTCTTAACTCCCGTATGCGGTTTCGCACCAGCTTAAGTTCCAACAAGGACGACAAACTGCTAAGTGTTTCCGGCGAGAGAATGTTCAGCTTGTTGAAGCTCAAGTCGAGGACCCGAAGAGCTGTTAAACCGTGCAGCGATCCGGGTAACTCGGTCAAAGTGTTGTGCGACGCGTATAGTTCACGAAGGTCTCTATAATTAAGATTGTCAATTTTATTTTAAGAAATTGTTCACAGACAAGTTATTCTTTTCCAAAGAAAAACAAACAAAAAACATATTAAAGAGTGTGTGGTAACAAACATAAGTGAGATTTAAATAAATCATTTGCCATAAAATTTGGATTCTATTCAATTGGAAATTGTATCTAATATGTCTCGAAATAAGTCGAAAAGTTTTGATAAACATCAGTTCAACGAGCTGTCTTTGAGATTGCTGTTTTTTTATATTGTTTAGTTTTAGTTTTTTGTTTTATATTTTTATTTTTGTTATAATTTATATGCAAAACACTAACAAAGATTAGTGTTTTGTCTAAATTATAATGAAAATAAAAATATAATAAACACAAAATAAAAATATCAAAAACAAAAATAACGAAAAAATAGCTCATTTGCAGATACATGTTTATTAAGATTTATTTTAAGAAATATTAAATTAATATCTAAAATATTTTACTTTTTAAATTTATTTTTCTTTTTTTTTAATGATCTTACATACTGATTAAAGTAAACTATAGCGTAAAAACACATGTTAAAAAAAAACAGAATAAAGAGAAAAGTTTAAGCAATGCAATAAAGTTAAATTTTGCAAACGAGATTAAATAAAATTGCGCATAAGTGAATCAAGTTGCCGCCAAATTAGTCGACACGTCACACAACAACGAGAAAGAGATATTAGCGTGCGCACAAAGAACTTTCTAGGTTTAAGAGTGAGGCAATCAAGTAACCATGAGTGAAACTGCTTTTCCACTAGAATATAATAACCGCGAGAGGTAACGAGAAAGAAAGGAAAAATTCATTGTAAGCTACACTCTACATTTTGTGAATCAAAATCAAGATAATGATGAATTGATAACTTTTTTACGTGAAGTAAAAACAACACTGAGAGAAAACTGTAGAAACCTACATACACGCAAACTGTAGATTTATTTAGCTATCGAATTTATTACCTGGTATTGGCGAAAGTGGCGTGAGGAATTTGAGCAAGATTATTCCTGCTCAAATCAATCCTTTGCAATTGCATATTTCCCTGAAAGATGTCCGGTCGCAGAACTTCCAATCGATTACCTCGTAGACTTAAATCCATCAGTGATTTCAGAGGACGGAAGCTTCTTCCGTGCAACGTGACCAGTCGATTGTACTTCAGATCTAGTTGCTCCAATCTCGAAAGTCCCTCGAAAACACCATCGTCCAGAAGTCTCAGAACATTGTAGCCCAGATTCAATTTTCTCAGATTCGGCAAGTCAGCCAAAGCGCCAGGCAGAATTCTTTCGATCCCATTAGAGCTCAAGTCTAGCGAACGCAAGATAGGTAGAACCAAATCTTGAGAAGATATGCTCGGCAAGTCCACAATACGGTTCTTAGACATGCGAAGATGCTCAATGTTCTTCGGTAAACCGGGAACCACCTCCAACATGCGATTCCAGCTTACATCGAGTTCGTACAGATTCGTCAAATGTCGAAAGGTTATTGGATGAAGAACAGACAGAGCGTTTCCGGAGACATTGATGTGTTCCAGTGCCGGCGTGCCGTGAAAGGATTCAGGTTCGATCAGCCCGATCTCGTTGCCGCTAAGATCCAATCGTCTGAGATTCGGCAGATGGGCTAACAAACGCGGATCTATGTGACGGAAATAATTCTCCGAAAGATCCAGGCCCTGGAAGCAATGAATACAATTGACGATGACTCGATGCTAGAGAACAGGAACAAATTGAACGAAATAATCTTTACCTTTAACGCCGGCAAATTCCAGAAAGGTGCTTCCTGCAGATGGGACAAGGAATTGTTTTTCAGTCTAAGCTCCCTGAGTGCCGGCATTGCCATGAACGTTTCTCTCTGCAGCAACGCCAACCCGTTATGATTCAGATGAAGCCTCTCCAATGTGGAGTGACCTCTTAGAGCACCGAAAGGTATTTCCTTTAGCTGATTGTAACTAGCGTCTAAGAACTTCAACCTTGGCAGAGCCTCGAGCACTGATCGTATCTCGGCCACGTGACTAAGGTCATTGTTGATCAACCACATCTCTTCCAGCGAGTTTCCCGCACGCTGCGGAAAGAAATCCGGATGGATGCGATGGATCAAGTTATGATTCAGATCCACGGATTTGAGCGACGGCAAACTCTGGAAGGCACCGGCGAATATCTCCGTGATGTAATTGCGCGATAGATAAAGACGCGCCAGAACCGGTAGCTCGACGAACGAACCCTCGCTCAAGCGATTGATGCGATTCTGATCTAGACGGATAACCGAGAGTGACGGAAGATCCATGCACGCGCGACCGACCATACCGGCATCGATTATGGCGTTCCCGACCAGTGAGATCTCCTTGAGTTTTGGTAAATCGTTCAGAGCTCGCGGATGAATCCAGTGAATACCGGAATCGGAGATATTGATCAGCTCCAGTCGAGGCAGACCATGAAGAAATCCAGCTTCCAGTCTGGATAATCTCGGACTACCAAACACGTGCAACTGTTCCAGACTGGGAACGTCCCGAAAGTTTCGCGGCGCGAGTTCCAGCAATGCCGGCGAATTGATCTGCAAGTATCGCAGCTTCGGCAAACCGGAGAACCGCGGCAGTCTCTTCATCACGCGACTCTGCAGCGTCACCGCCTCGAGACCTTGCAGGTTCTCCAGACTGTCCACGGGCAGAGACCGCAGCTCGGGCTCGACGATGAATAGTTCCAGCAGAGAGTCGTGCAGACCTTCCAGCCAGCCGGACGACACCCTCTCGAGTCGATTGTGCCGCAGCATGAGACGCAGAACTCGAAGGGTCGCGAACACCTTGCCAGGCAGACTTGGTAAATTGTTGTTCTCTAGGATAAGTTCGTCCACCGGTCGGCCCACGTAATGGCTCACTGCCTTCAGACCTTCTAAGACTTTCGGTAACTCGCTATGACTACACCTGCGCGAATTCATAGCGTTCAGCATTTGTGCGCGTGTGTCCCGAACGTAAATCTTTCGCGTTTCAGCATTAATATTAGTTATCAAAAAACTTGCCATATCTGAACCTCCATGTCGCGCGTCGAGCATCTGCAGGGCAGTATTCTCTCTTGAGACGGGCATCCATAATCAGGATCCAACTGGGCGCCGGCACCAACGGAACGGAGTGCCAGAAGCCAGCCGACTATGAGAAGCCCACCGCCTTCCGACGGCCTGACCATCGCGCATTTGGACCGTGGTCTACGATCGCGAGCACGACCAGTTCCGCATTTTCTAGAATGTATATTTGCACGCAAACGAACAAATGTGGAACTTTAAAAAAGTAAGAGATTTTACAAGCGTCTTTGGTTCCATCCAGAGATTTTCAACATTAATTGGAGCGTATTTCGTTCTTAATATACTTGTAATTAAAGTCCACGTGTTCGAAACTTTTCTAAATCGTTGTTTTCTAGATCAAACGGCATGATATGAAGAACATCCGGAGCTTTCTTAATTTCCTTTGCCAGGGGAACCGGGTCGGTTCTTACGCGTTTATTTTACGCGCTGAACGCGTTTTATTGCCAAGAAAAACGATCATCGAAGCAACGAGCATCGCGTTTCAACATATCTGACGCGTCGCGTAATTGTAATTTCCGCATGTATAAAAATAACGAGTGTGTCGTCTCTTTCGAGATTAGAAATCTCATTAGCAGGACGGAATAACGACCGATAATTGTGAGATTTTAGGTGGCGAAGTTAAAGAGCCCTTGGACGTCACGGTACGCGTCTACGTCCCGGACGCAATGCCACGCATCTCTGTGTCCACACACGTCACGGTCGTAAACGACAAAATTGATGCTCCGTACCGTAAGCAAAGCTAAAGACCGCTAGGACAATCATTGTCCGTAATAATTGCTGTCGTGCTCTCCGATGTATATGGTAACGGCGGACAAATAGAAGTTGACGATGTGGATTTGAATTGCTATCAAAAATTCGCACTTCTGAGAGAAAGAGAGAGTGAGTCGGAGAAAAGCTGTTGAGCATATACGTAATATGTATTTCGAAACATTTGTTTTCCTTTAACAACAATTATTTACTGACAAGACACGCATATTTGGATATTAGAAAATTACATGAGATTGTAATTACGTATAAAAAAAAAATAAAATGATTTGCAATAACTTTTTTTTAATCATTTGAGCAAAGTAATTTGTTACCAAGAGTAATATTAAGTGTGTTAACGAGCAGATAAAAGCGTTCACCAAGGAAACACATGTCACGCGGAAAAAAGTGGATTTCGTAATGTGCCATTTAGAAGGAGCGAACAATCGAACGACCTGAAAAATCATTCGTGAATAACATCGATGTGTAACGTGATAATAAACGATGCAAAATTTTACGGAAATTAATAATTGTATCAATGAGATATCTCGGGACACATTTTTCGAGATGCTTTGCAAAATTTGAGAGTAACAAAAATATTGATGTTAACGTTTTATTTCCATTCATTCACTTAGATAATAAGAAAAATGTAATCATAAAATTAATGTTATAAATAAAGTTTTTTGTACTTATTTCTTAATCAGTTTGATATTAAAGGAGATCCCCCCGCCCTTTGTTATAAATAATTTTAATAATAAACAATGCGGACTTGTTAATATTTTACGTTTCTTATATAAATAAATTATACAATACAAATTTAATTTAGATTCAAATAAAGAAAAGTAATGGAAAGTACACACATACAACAGATTTGCCACACGTACTTTTCTATATTTTACGAAATTGCGTAATGTCGCAAAGATGCATCAAACATGCAGTTCATTGTCTCTCAGTTCCATTGTCGTAATCGTAATGCTGAATTTTGATCAAAAACAAGTGCGTGGATGCAATTTTAGTGAAAGTGATTCTCACTTCCTGATATTCGTCAGTGACTCCGAGCATCTCATTTTCTGCTACGAATGCTAATCTTGTGTCCATTATGCAACATATCATATGAAGCAGATTGTGCATCTTTACGAGCAGCAAACAATTGTTGACGCACAACAACACGGACAAAACGTAAACGCGCGCTAATATTTCGAGCAATGAATTTCTGACAAAGCACAACTTTCTCCACAAAATTTCAAGTTTTGGATATTACAAATTATATTTAACAATAATATATTAGTTACTTTTCTGAAAATTCTTGTTTTCTAGGAGAAATGTCAGTATATGCATGTGTGTGTTAATTTTTCTCGTGTTACACAAGATAATAAATGCAAATATGCTGTTTAAAATGTAAATCCCTAAGCGATAGTATATATATATATATATATATATATATATATATATATATATATATATATATATATATATATATACATGTATAAGTAATATATATATAAGTTCGGTTTGGAATGTTTAACAAAATTACACACACTTTATTATCTATAAAATATACTCACCTTCACAGCGCTGTTACTAAATCAGCACCCGCTGTTCAAGAATCTTGAATAGTTTTATCGTGTTTCTCAATAAAACCCAAATCCACAAAGAAAAACAAAAGTTGTCTTCCGAAATTTATTTCCACTTGTGTCTCGCGCGCATAAAACAAATGAATTTTTATTTTTAATTTACGAGAACGCGTAAAAAATTACGTTTCTCGTTTTTAATACCTTTCTCGATTAACGAGCGTAGCTCTTCGTGGTCTCGTTACGAGCACGTACTAAATGCACTGAAGAAACTGTCCGCAAAAGCGTGGCGGTCTGCACAAACTTCAGGGGAGAAGATGACGACGTCATGGTGTAGGTGACGGCGGGGAGGGACGCAAAAAGAATTGCGAAGTGCGTGTCCAGCCACCGTGAAGACACGCTTCCAGGAAATTCTTCCCTTTCCCCACGAATCTCACTCACGGCCGAATGTAATTCGGGACGAAAAGTCTTTGCCTCCCTTTCGTTTTTCCGCGTTGCACGCGAGATCAATCTTCGATCTCAATGAACTGATTTTCAGATTGAGATTTGTCTAATATCTGTTGACCCAATTATCATGCCGATAGAAAACAAATTTTCTACATCTATAATAGTGTGGTTAAGGCAGTTAGAGCATAACACCGGTGTTGCTGTGTAAATGTGTAAGAAGTTGATTTATTTAACACGTGTGAGTATACATAAACGTTACGACCTTCTTTTTAGGTCCTTATCAATATGTTAGATACGCTGGTGTTGTTATCTTCGCAATAGGATGTACATTTTACAAAAACATGTTGCACGAGAAGCACAGTAGTAAACTGATTGTTTTTTCTACATCTGTTTCAACACAGCTCTCGTATTAGAATATTTATAAGTATGTGTGTGAAAACTTTAAAATTTTTTATTATCGCTATATTTATTATTATTACCGCTCGAAAAAACGATTTCTAAAAATTAGCTTCAAAAAACCGGTTTTTAAACGAGACGACCAGACGACCTCCTCAAATGCAAATATATGGGATGCATATGCATGTGCACAGATATGTTATATTGTCATAAGTGAATAACTAAATGGCATAAAACATAAGCGAGATAAACGCGTGATAAAGTATATTAATATATATTATATTATATTTATGTGTGCATATTTTGTTAAAACAAGAAAAATTGTGCTTATCTTGGTGTTACGTAGATGGTATAAGGTGCTTCAGTGCGGTTCGACAACTATTCGGATGTGTGATGTGATCATAAAAAAAAAAAAAAAAACATACATTGTGTACATAACAAAAATCACAAAGTGTAAAAAATTGTGTTGATCTATGCGTATCAACAACGATGAATTTAACAGGTCTCATATTTAAAAGTCGAATTTTTATAACATTTTTGCGCTTACACAATACATTCGTGAAATAATGATATCGTGATCGGTTTTTTTTTTTTTTAATATGAGTTAAAAGGTAATGTGTTTAATAAATTATCCTATCATTACTCTTCTATAAAAGAAAATATTTGTAAGAGATTTATTTTGCATTTCAAAGATTTAAAGTAGTTTGTTTTTATTAGCAATCTTAATGATTACATAGCGGTATGGGTTATTTTTTAATGTTTTCCCATCGCAATGTGAGAGTTTTATATAACCGGTTTGGAACTATTCAAGATAAAAACACGTTCTGGTATTGGTCCGCGCACTAGCCAAGCCTCCTTCTGATTGTTGTTTTTATTCGTCATTCTGTCGCAAGAGCTAATTAAAATTCAAATTATTTTTTTCTCTCTTGGAATACCGTATTTACTACATTCCTATGACGTCTGTGTTTACACGTTTAGACGTCATAGGAATGAAGATAAAATGACGTGGATAATTTAAAAAATCTGGAATATAGAAATAAAATATAATTTCGTCCCGAATTACATAGTAAGATATAATATATGTGCGGTATTCTGAGAGACAAAGAGGAAATTCAAATTTTAAGTAGTTCGTGTAACAGAATAATGAATAGATATAATGTTATTTTAAAAATTGCATAAATACTTAGTTAACTTGCCAGTGCAATATATCTAAATAAAAAAATTAATATTAGCTTTAAGTTTTTTCTTTATTTATGTAAATTAATTAATTAATGTGATCTTATATTGTATAATCATATGTACATAAATGTACATGCTGTCATACAATATATGATCACAGTCACGTAGGTTCTATGACAAATCTCAAATAAAATAAATTATCCCTCAAATTATAATTTAATGTTTATAAATAAATTAAAACAAATTTCTAGGAATTTGTAGATAAATATCATAAAATGGTGTGCTTGTATTTATGTATACGTGTAACTACACAAAGCGATTCTCGTATTAAAAGATCTACTCTACCTATAGTCTTATATTTTTAGTGTCATTGTTTTTCATGTATTAGTGCACGAATACATGGATGGAATCATATCCATGATCTAACTGGTTTTCAATACAGGCCGTGATATGGATACAGAAATAGTAGAACTATACGAGTCTCAGTTGTTTATCAACCGCCAACGAGAAAACATTAATTTATCCGAATAATTTTTTCTAATAAAAGTCAATTTTTTTGTTTTAATGCAGCGTGAAGATATTTTATTATAAGATTATGAGAACAAAAAGTTTTAAAATATAGACTAGTTCTATATAAAGCTCTTTTTTTCGAACATAGACTTGTCGGAAATTGTTTGTCATCAGACAAAAAAGACAATAAGAAAGATAAAATTGTGTGATCTTTTATCATTTGAAAATCGCGTTGTATATTTTACGGGATAATGTTGCGCAAAAGTATCATTCACTTTACGAGAAGCGTTCGCAGAGACTTCCACGCATCTGTTTATCCTTTTTGCAACGCGATTAAAGAAACTGACAACGTTAAATGCAACAGTACAAAACATAAAGTTAAATCGCCACGGATATTGATAACTGGTAAGCATGAAGTAATATATCATTACGTCACAAAATGTTTTCTTCTAAAGTAAATATTTATATAAGACAGATTGGTTACAAAAGTTTTCGGATAGAATATCATTTGACACAAAAAAGATTCGGAATGCAAAGTTCTGCTAGATACGATCATTCTCGATTCGACAAATTGACACGTTCTGTCTAATGCAAATTTTGATACCAATCTGCGTGCAATAAATCCGCTTGAGATTTACTGCCAATTTGTCAACTGATTCTTAAAAAATCAATTTGTTTACTTTTTTTTTATCTTCAATTTTATTAATAATCTTGGAAATGACTAATTCTATATTCATCAATCCATGACCGTTTTGATGACAAAATTTGTTGCGAGAAATTCTATCGAAACAAAAGATGAATATCAAAATATTTGCTTTTTTTGTTTTAAAATTATTTAGAAACAATAGAAATTATTTGACAAATGCGAGTGTGTAATCATTTTAACGTCATTCTAATAAGTAATCGTATATTGTCATTAGTCTTTGTAATTTATATTGTTATTTTCTTTATGCCATAATTACGTATTGTAGTATCTTGTACATTTTTTCCTAATCTGTTTATTCACGTTTTTCAAGAACCGAGCCTCGATCGATTGAATACATATTTAAGATAATAGCATACAATTTTATGCGTAATATTTTAACACATCTTGTTTACGTAAAAGTTACGTTAAAAGATTGTTTTAAAGATGACGCAACGTCACGCTCGATTTTCTAATGAGAAAACAACTTTTTTTTTACTTTTTACTGCTGTACGCAATGTTCATTGCATACAGCAGTAAAAAGTTTAAGATGCAAGTCACATTCTTTTCATCATTGTGCGATATGTGTTTAGGAGGTCTTGGACAATTGGGCACAGAATGTGCAAAATTGCTTCGTCGGAATTACGGTAACGAGAATGTCATTCTGTCGGACATTATTAAACCGACGGAAGAGAATCTGGAGAACGGGCCCTTTATTTTCGCTGACATTCTCGACTTCAAGGGTTTGCAAAAAATTGTTGTGGATTACAGAATCGACTGGCTCATCCATTTCAGCGCTCTGCTCAGCGCTGTAGGAGAACAAAACGTGCCGTTAGCCGTCAGAGTTAATATTGAAGGTAAGAGAGATAAAATCTGTTCGCACACATTTTACTGAAATGCGAGAAGCAATTGATGATGTATCTAAAACAACGCATAGATCACATTGCTGAGTATCACATTGCTGTTGTTGATAATTCATCCTTCAAAAGAACAAATGTCAAACACACTGGTTCGTTGTCACATGTAGTATTTACGTGACAGTTTTTCGCCAAAAAGACGCTCTGTCAAAATTTACGAGTTGGGCCTCATGCGCCCCCGAATCGCTACCTCATCTGTCTTATTCGCCTCATGCGATTTTCATTTATTTCTGAATCTGAAAAAATAGCTCGTAGAAATTTTCGAGCAACAATGAAGTCGATGACGTAAATGACTATCTTGAAGAATTTGAGAAATGGTTTCACCGAAGCTGCTTTTGAGAAGCGCTGATTAAAATATATCGAGGTAGAAAGATAATTATATGAAAAAATAAATACATTTTTACCCAATAAACTTATCGCCCTTCACAACTAATTATTATTAATTAAATATAAAAAAATAATTTGATCTTCAAAACTTGACATTTTAAAATAAAATGTAAATATATATATGTGTATATACATATATAAAGTTGTTATTATCTTTTCATTAATAATAATATTATTAATAATCACATATTATTAGTATTAGTTTTTAAATAAATATTTTTAAATAAAGTATAAAAGAGAAAGATTAAATTTTTAAGAATAAGTAAACTAATTGTGAAATATCTAGTAAAACGCAAAAATTTTATACACACGACGATGACAATCTTTCCGCAAACTGTGTCCAAGTGAAATGGAATGTTGGGCTGACGTGTGAATTTGTCATTACGATAATAATGATGGTATGGTCGTGATCACACGAAGAGAAGAAAGTGTCCGAGAGAAAGCTGATAGACATTAGTTGAAACAATAAATAACGTCGCAATTTTTGCACAAATTTTAAGCATATATAAGAAAAAAAAGAAATTGTTTCTGAATAGTGTGAAAAAAAATTATTAAAATTAATATTATCAAAAAAAAAAAGGAGATTTTCACTCCTAAATGTATTCAAACATTTTGCAATACTTATATACGGTGTTTATTTTTCGCTGTCCTCTGAATATAAATGTTTATATATATTTTAAAGATTTACGAAGATTATTTTTCGTATTGATAGGAATGCACAACGTCATCGAGTTGGCAAAGCAATACAAGCTGAGGATCTTCATACCGTCGACAATCGGTGCATTCGGTCCCGATTCGCCGAGAAATCCAACGCCAAATGTTACGGTGCAACGACCGCGTACGATCTACGGCGTGAGCAAGGTCCACGCCGAACTTCTAGGAGAATATTATCATCATCGGTTCGGCCTTGACTTTCGCTGTCTTCGATTTCCCGGCGTAATCAGCTGCGATCCGCCTGGCGGTGGCACCACTGGTGATGATATGTTGTCTGTCATTTCTTTTTTATTACGCACATAATGCTAGTTGTGAAAAAGATAAACATCTCTCAAGATTAATAATATGTATGCATAAATGTAAAAGATATCATATCTACATCGTTAAATGTGTTTTGCACGATATCAGAAAAATGTAAACAAGGTGTGTATATAATTTTGCTTTAGTGCGCGCGCGCGCGCGCTATTTAATATATTTACTGCATTTATATTTTCTAAGTGAACATTTGCCGTTCCTCGTTGACAAAGCGGAAATCAAACTTTCTTCACTGGTGCCCGCAATGCTTGCGTGTTCGAGTTTTGCAACTCATAGCAGGATAATCGTGTGTTCATGCTTAAGAAACGCTTAAATGCCGCGCAAACTAAGCGCACTGATAACTGGAAATTGATAGAGCTTTTTATCCTCTTTCACGACGAACTAGAGCATTAACGGCGATTATGGTAACTGCATAATGATGAAATATATCATTTCTCAAGGACAATGCTGTCGACGAACAATATACGGGTTGAGTCTCATGATCGCTGCTTCGTGAGAGAACTTCTCAATGGTTTTCTTAATTCTCGATGCATAAAAAACTGGTAGCAAACACATCGATCGACAACACAGCAAAAACACGTTTTGCAAACAGGTCGCTTAATTAGAACGTCGTGCATCTCTTTTGCATTCTGAACAAACACACATTCGCGTGGAAGTATCATTATCATTATTCATCTTTCCAGGCGACATATAATAATAAGAAAAACTACGTATTCAGTAGTAAAATAAAATAAAAAAATAATAATTTTTTAAATAGTAAAATATAAATATAAAATATAAATTATATTAAATTGACACACGAGGTTTTATATAAAAACACAGTCATCTGAAATCGATGTGCAAACCTATTTCTTGATTTTGGATCAATTGCATCTTTGATTTTATAAATTTTATTTGCTCAACATGCATGTAATAGATTTTTGTTTTTGATTTTTGTTTCTGCAGATTATGCTGTAGCAGTATTTCATGAAGGTCTGTTAAACAAAAAGTACGAGTGCTACTTAGAGCCACACACTAGACTGCCGATGATATACATAGAAGATTGTCTATCGGCGCTCTTTCAATTTTTGAACACACCAAACGAATTACTGCGCAGACGAGTTTACAATGTAACAGCCGTGAGTTTCACACCTGAGGAACTGTTCAACGAGATCTTAAAATACATACCGGATTTACAAGTTACTTACAAGCCAGACAAGCGTCAACACATCGGTATGTAATAAAATACGTTGTGGATTAAAATTAAAAATTAAAACAGATGTTTAAATAAAACAAATTGATATCGCTAACATATTATTTAGCCGACACCTGGCCGCAAGTTTTCGACGACAGTGAAGCACGACGAGATTGGAATTGGCGACATAAATACGATCTGCAGATGTTGGTAAAGTCCATGGTGCAAGACGTTAGCACGAATTTCCTCCCGAAACATCGATTAAAAGAAGTGAATAGTTATGTATAAACTATTATGTTGTGTAAAGTAACATTGTACAGAAAAAAAAAACAAGTATTAAATTCTTTTGATTAACATGTTTTGAGAACTTTCTCATAAAAATTCAAAATATTCTCGTTATTTTCCTCACTTTATTCCAAAATTTGTACTCCAATTAAAAGAAAAGTATGTAGGTATATATAATATACATAAAAATACTACCTTTTTATATTTTTTCATCAATAAATTGTAACAATATTTATCATAAAATTTTACAATTTATAAAAAAAACTATTAATTATCTGCAATTAAAACTAAGAATGAAAAGGCCAATCCGAGCCATTCCCAGGATGTTGTGCAGGATAAGCGTGCATGTATATATATATATATATACACATGTATGAAATTCACATGTAAATTATTTTACATGTGGGTTTTTTGAATTGAAATTTCAATTCATAAAATCATATAGGATGCTAGATTTCTCTGCAATTTATCTGCAATTAATCAAGAATCATAAAATGTCCTCTAAATTATATTATTTTAATTATTTTTTGAATACTTGTGAAATATAAAATCTTATCTCACTTTAAATGACACATATTATAGCTCTTTAATAAGCTTCCATCTTATAGTAATATATATAGTCATTATGTCTTATGTAATATACATAGTCATTAATAACAAATATTTATCGTCTTCTATGATTTCTTTTTCTGATCCTGTAAAGATTAAAAATACAAAGAATACAAATAATTTACATCTCCAAATCCTGACATATTAATTTTAACTTATTAAAGATCCTTATAATTATTATATAGCATTTTACACTTACTTCTTTGGTCCTTTGACAAAACACCAATCAACTGATATAGCCTGGCCTAAAATTTCTGTACCATTTAATGCTTCCTTTGCAGCTTGTGCTTCTCTAAAGGTTTCATATTCCACCAATGCATAACCTTTAAGAAAGCCTGTTCTTCGGTCTAAATTTAAATGTAAATTTTTGATCTGACCAAACTCAGAAAATTTATCCTGAATATCGTCTTCTTGCGCTTCTTCATGTACTGAGTTTATGAATAAGATCCATCCTTCAACAGCTACAAAAATAAATTATAAAGAATATAGATTATAAAATATTTATAACAACTCTTAAATAATGCAAGCCTGATTTCAAATATGATTTTAGCAAAATTATATACAATGATCTTACATCTCTGAGGACCAGGCTCATTATCGTCTTCTTCAACGATGCCCATGGATTCATAATGACCAACATCATCTTTTGTTGATACCAATTCTGCGCCATGACCTCTGCCTTTTCTTTTCTTTGCTTTCTCCTTAAGACGAGCAATACCCTCTTGAAATATATAAAAGCGATTATACAAGACATTTTTTTTAAATCACCTGAGATAAATAATCAATATAAAGAAATTGTTAAAGTGGCATGTACAAAACAGAGGTTATGTACAAGCGTTGATCAGACGCCAGTAAAATATTATTACAAGAGAACTCACGGTCTCCTTCATCGTCTACTTCGAATTCCTCAGCATTATCAATATCCAAAACGTCTGCCATGGCTATAAATGTCGCGTTTTAAACAATTATATGTAAACTTTTAAACTCACTATTCGATTTCCCGGTTCATCCCGGTTTATCCTTTGACTATATAGTCAAAGGGTTTATCATACGAATTATTTAGATAAACCAAAGAGAACCGTACCATAGACCATAGACTTGTATTAAGTCGAATATTAGGTGTGTTCAGACAACTCAACAGCTGCACAACGATTGAGAGATAATCACTTATGATTGGGTCATACTTTTGGAACTGTTGCAGGTTTTGAAGAATAGTCCTGAGTAATAGTCATAAGTGATGATCTCTCAACTGTTGAGTTTTCTGAACGTATCTATTGTTCTGGTTGAGTACACAAAAAATGTGGAATAAAAAGCGCGACAAAATTATTTTTGTCAAAATTGCTTCTAAAGATATCTAAAAAAATTTCAATTTCTTGTCAATCATAAGTTTAAAAAAGTCCTTTAAAAGTTTGATTATAAAAGTCTTGTTATAAAAAATCGGCTCTTTCAATGCCATTATTTTATGAAAGAGTCGAATTTTACTTTTTTTTAAGTAGTGCATTTAATACAAAACACAGAACAGAATTAGATGAAAAATTAGATAATAATTTTAGTCACTGAATTGGTTTATATATTCGTTTATTTATTACATTAAGTAAAGCTGTAAAAAGTTTACATCTACAGAACATAAATTTTCAAAAACTGATGCAATATATTACAATGTTAATCTTTTGTATCTACATCCATAAAATCCGTAAAATCATCATCCAACATTTCTGCAATTTTTACTGGATTTATTTTAGCTTTCTTCGAAGGTGTTTGATACGTTGTTTTTTGATCTCTGTTTAGAGGTGTGCCAGGTATATCTGTGTTTTTCGAAGATATATTGTAGTTCTCATTTCTACTCGGTGTGCCCGAAGCCAAATTTCCGGAAGGCGTAGATGACTGTCTGTCATATTTTCGCGAAGATAAACTTCGGGGTGTGCCAGTTGTGGTTTGAGAGAATTTATCCTTAGCGTCGACATCTGCAAAGAAAACAAAGACACAATACTCAAACGCATTATAACGGAAGATTTTATAAAAGATTTTTGTTCATAAATAAATTTGTTGTAGGAACATGAACTTTAAGTACATATAAAGTTATTTACTGTTAGCAAATGTTTTTATTAATTGAACAAATTGAGCTGTTTTCTTCTCTTTTTACCTTTGCCACTATCATCTCCAGTTAAAATTGCACGACTCTCAGCAAAATACAAGTTTGGATGTAAGATGGGTTTGCTTGCTGGTTTATTATGCAACACTTCGAAATATTTAGCGCACGCTAGATGATACTGTCCATCTTTGGCTAAATCCAATATTTCATTCACATCTAAAAAGTATAATATAAAAGTTCAATATAAATACATTACTTCCTTTTTTCTTTTAGAGCAATAAGAAAGTTTAATAATCTTACTAGAAGCAAATACGCCGTAACTGGTAAGCTTTTGACACAACGAATCACGGTCCATATGTCGAAAAGGACATCCGTGATATTCTCCAGGTCCGACAGAGCTAGATATAATCTTTTGACAACCGTATGGTGTATAATTAGTTTGTCTCCCCTCTTTACCATAATAATGCCTAATAGAATATGCGTATCTTTTTTCAAATGCAACTCCGTCTGTTTTTTTCGAAAAGGCATCTCTCCAAAACCGCAAAGCATCTTCCAACGTTACGCCAATACCTTTCAGAAATAGACCATATTGCATACGCCCTGAATTTTTTAGATGATTGTTAGCGTAAAGGGCATCATGAAGCGTTCTCATACATAAAGGATACGATGTTTTTGACAACTAAAATATAAACTTTACTACATATATGCACATCAAACAAATGGAACAAAAGTTCCGAACTAGAATAGTAATCAAAATGTACATCATTCAGTTTATCAATAGGTGTAGTTGTAGTTGACCACACAACACGTGCCATTCCAGTAAAGGCTGAAGGAAGGCCTTTTAAATACCTGGTCAATCTTTCATCATCAGATATATTGTTGTAACAAACTTTTGCATTCTGTAAACAGTACAAGGCAAATTAATTGGATCTAAACAATCTCACTTTGAAAACTTGAATGTTAAGAAAATAGACACATACTTCTAAACCTGTAATTAGATTCTCTCTCAAGTAAGAAACAAATACAGAACTCAGATCCATATGAGTGATGTATGCCATTCCTGCTTTGAGATATGCTTTACGTCCCCTGACTAGATCAATCACCTTATCAAAAGACACTTTGTAAATGTCAGTGACATCAACATTTGTAACTTTTCCACATGATAAACTAAGCTCTTCTTTTATTTCAAGTTTTTCATCTTGAGAAATCTGAAAAACCATTAACCAGTTCACATAATAAAACATATACATTAGGATAGTTTATCAGATATAACACAACACATACAGGTACGCAATCCATTTTGCAAGTATTCAACAAGTGTTTAATGCCTTTTTTGTCCAAGGAACTAAACCTTAATTTGAAGAATTCAATCTCCTGATTAATGAACCACTTAGTTTGCTCAATATTGTGGCAATATACAAGTCTCAAAATAAAATGTGACACATGATCTTTTTTTCTAGCTCGTGTATGTTCTTCTAATTGTAGATTGGATCCGTCAGCATACAAGAGATTTGCTAAGTATTTTAGCCCATCTGATTTCAAAGATTCATACAAAGCTGTCTTGCGATCCTCCAGTGTTTTCAGATCACCTCTACAATTTGTTGTCTCAACCAATCTCAGTGCTGCAATCAAAGTGAACAAAATAAAAAATACATATATTGTCTTATTGTGTTAAGATGTGCGCATGAAGATTTTGTGTGCTAAAAAAAAAAAAGTACCTTTCAATCTGTCAAATCCTAATTCCTGAAATTCCTCCAATGACATTTCACCTATTGGTGGCACATCGTACATTTGAATGTCTTGAGGATACTCATTTTTACAACTGTCTGTGTCCACGACATTCGTGTAACGTCGACGTGGTTTGTAATCCATTTTACGGTTTTAAGACAACTTTATATGTTACGTTAAACATGTACTAACAAACATGTACTAAACTTAAGTAAAACAAACAATGGCTACTTGCAATAAAACAAAAAAACATATAAGAAACAAATCATTTTACTGCGAGCTGCTCACTCGAGGTTATTCAGTGTTTCTTACACAACATGCAACTAATTTTCCCGCTATTTCTTCCCGCCATTTTTCAGCCGCTTTGAACGACATCTACAGTATTTTCTCGTGGGTCAGAAAATTTTATTCATTGCGCTTTGTAATGACAGAGAGAAGCCTGAGAGCGGCCAGATACATAAGAGAGTGTGTAATCACTTTTCCGCCCTGTAAACTAGCGCATGTCCACGAGTGGTACACATTGGAACTACGCAACCATTCCACGAGCGACATGTCCACAGCGTGCGATTCTATTCTGTGCTGTGTGCACGCGTCTAATTGGTCATCTTCTTCAGGCGTGTGAGTATATTCGCGAGCGTGGATTTGATTTTTTTTGAAATTTAAAATGATCGGCCTCGTGATGAGAAGATACGAAAGAAGAACAAGAAAGGACAAAAAAAAACATTGCAACTTTCCACACAACATAAATGTGATATACAAGAAAAGATGTGATAGTCAAGAAAATAATATTATTTTAGCGAGCAGCATCAGAATTCGTGGAGTGTATCATCTCCTTTTACATCATCATTTGCTGCTTTTTGCTTTATAAATTTTATTTTATTTTATTTTATC